AGTCAGTCCAAGTCCGCCCGCAGCCCCCGACACCCAGCGCCATGAACCAGATCGAGCCCGGCGTGCAGTACAACTACGTGTACGATGAGGACGAGTACATGATCCAGGAGGAGGAGTGGGACCGCGACCTGCTGCTGGACCCCGCCTGGGAGAAGCAGCAGAGGAAGGTCAGCCGGCGTGCCGTGTCCCCCCGCGTGTCCGTGTCCCCCACGGGTCTGTCCCCCACGTGCCATGTTCGTGCCCTCGGGCGCCGGCCGTGGGGAGAGCTGTCCGGGTCCTCGCAGCCGGGCGCCGGGTGAGAGGGGGCACGTCCGGGGACAGGCATGAAGCCAGGTGTCCTGTGCGCGCGCGTGTGAGTGACACGAGAGGACAAAGCGAACGGTGTTCAATGGTTCTGTCCGACTCCCATCAGACCAGACCCTGAGCCCGTGACCTTGGCCCCCGAGTTCTGCCTCCTGGCCCCGCTGTGCTCACAGGGCTGCCCCCCAACAGCCACTGAAAACCCTTTCCCGAGTGTCCCGGGCTCCTTCGAGGGGGTGCTGCCCGAACCCTGGACATTCACGATAACGCCCTGATGATTCACACTCTATTTATGGGTCCCTGAGGTCAGTGCCCGGCCCAGGGGCTGAGCCAGCCCTCAGCGCCCCATGCCACCCCGGTTGGCACTCCCCGGGGCCCAGTGGAACATTCCACTCTTCAGGGTTTCTTCCTGATCCCTTGGCTGGGACAAGCAGGGATGCTCACCAGGAAGATAATCCCCCTCCTGCTGCCAGCGCAGACCTGCGCACCCAGCCTACGAGGACCTGCCCTGGCAGAGCAAGGCGCCCTGTGCTTCCCCCTACTTGGCGGGTGGAGGGGAGGGTGAGGGGAGGGAGGGGGTGGAGCAACGTGGATTTCCCTTCTTAGGTCCTGTTGCTAAGTGGATGACCTTTGTTGACCACATGTGTGCATGGAAGTGTGTGCATGGGAACCGCCACGGCCGACACTGTGCGTGATCACAGGGTAGTTCACGCGAATCAGTATAGGATTGGAAGACACATCCCCTACTTCCCTCCCAACCGAATGTTAGCTGGAAGGAGAGAGATCTCATATTTGGATAATTATTAAATAACCAAGCAGGATTTCTGTTTTATTGTCCACTGTCTCTCTTAAAATAACATTATTATTATTATTATTATTATTACTGTTGTTGTTTTAAAGCTTGAATTTAGCTACATTTCATTTCCCACCTTAGTTCCTAAGACTTCCAACCATCCCTACCTTCTTGGAAACCAGAGAATGGAAGTCCTAAGTAGAAGTTGAATCTATAAAGGAAAAATGAAAATCTCAAACCTTCCACGGTCTTTCATGACTTATTGCGAGGGAGATGTGTGGGCTGAGGATTATTAATGTGTCATTTGGACGAGCTGATGCATCACCGATCAGCAAGATGTGAAAAAGTGACTTTGATTCCTAGCAGTGAGTGTTCCTTTAAAAAAATTTTTCTTACAATTTTGTTACATTTTTCATGGGTTAAAAAAACTTCTTTGTTTCAAAGATTGCTTTGTCCAGTATAATAGCTAAGGAATTGGACAGATAGTCTGGGTCATGTGGTCATTTGCCCATCACTTTTTAGAATAGACTCATCACAGTGGCTTCTGTTGGTTTTTAAAGTATGGTACAGTCACAGAGTAGAGCTAATGTCCGTTCCCAAATATCGACATAAGTCTTCTGCCGTATTTAATTTTTTAAAAATGTATTCACGATATTTTTGGATATAATGGCTTTGCAATTTTTTTTAGGTGTTGGTTTCCTGTGTTGCTATTATCATTGTCTAGCACTTGAAGTATATTATTAAGAGATGATTATACTTTCTGATCCCGATTCCAGGTCATGCTAGAACGTTCAAAAATGAGAATTTATTTTGTTTCGTAAGATAGGCTGAGTGTTGTAGACACTGGGGGGAAACACACAGGCCCGGGCAGCTCCGGAAGGACCTCTGCTTCCACTTTTGGTATAAACGACCCGGGTCCCGGAGATAATATGGACCCGCGAGGGCCGTGCAGCCGAGACCCGGCCTCTATTTCTGTCCGATGAGACACGCTGCTGGAACAGGGCGAGGGCAAATGCCTTTGCTTCTATTGTGGGCCACCTTCTCCACACTTGCCATTTCAGTGATATGCCGGGTATGAGATCTGTCAACAGATGCTGGTAGCACATGATGACGTCCGCAGGGTTAGGACGGTCGCGGCGCCTAATTATAGCCAAGTGCAGAGTCTCGGGCTGTGGCCACCCTCGCTGAGGAAGGACTTAGTAAAAGTGTAGCGCTGTTTTTTTTAAAAATAAGAAATTAAAAAAATATATATATATACATATATATATTTATTGATTGATTACAGAGAAGAAGGGAGAGGGAGAGAGAGAGACATCAATGATGAGAGAGAATCATGGATCAGTGCCTCCTGCACGCCCCACACTGGGGATAGTGCCTGAAACCCGGGCCTGTGCCCTGACCTGGGAATTGAACCATAACCTCCTGGTTCATAGGTCGATGCTCAACGACCGAGCCACGCCGGCCGGGCGAGAGATTTTTTTTTTTAAATTGTGGTAAATTCATATAACAAAATTTATCATCTTAACCATTTGCAAGTGCACAGTTCACTTGGATTAAGTATATTCACTTTGTTATGTAACCAGTTCCTAAACTCGTTTTATTTTGCTAAACGCAACTCTGTGTACCCACGAGCCCATAGCTTTCCATTCTCCCCTCTCCCAGCGCTGGCAGCCGCCATGGCACCTCCTGGGGCTATGAACTAGCCCCTCCAGGTGCGCCCTGAAGGTGGGGCCTTGCAGTATTTAACCTGTTGTGACTGGCTTACTTTACTGAGCAGAATGTTTTCCAAGTTCACCCACGTAGTAGCGTGTGTTAGAATCTCCTTCCTGTTTAAGGCTGAATCCTATTCCATGGTATGGAGAGACCACATTCTGTTTATCCTTTCGTCCGTCGAGGGGCGCCTGGGTTGCTTCCATTCTTGGGCTGTCGTGAATAAATAACGCGGTTGTGAACGTGGGTGTGCAGACATCTCTTTATGACTCTGCTTTCAATTTTGTTGGTTTCACACCCAGAAGTGAAATTTCTGGGTCCCGTGGTCATTGTTTTCAACTTTTTGAAGAAGTGGGATCCTTTTTGCAAAAGTGGGAAATGCGGACGATGTTGCATTTGTCATGGGGACGTACAGGCGTTTCCAAGCGCCCCCACCCCCTTCTCTCTCAGGGCTGTTTAGCAAACAGGGGTAGGAATATTTGTATTCGCATAACGTAGGCTCTTCGCACGGGACTTTAGAAACTCCCAGAGCTTCGGTGTTTACAGCGGTTCTCAACCTGTGGGTCGCGACCCCTTTGGGGGTCAAACGACCTTTTCACAGGGGTCGCCTAAGAGTCTTAGGCTAAGACCATCGGAAAACACATACATAATTACATATTGTTTTTGTGATTCATCACTATGCTTTAATGATGTTCAATTTGTAACAATGAAATTGGGGGTCACCACAACATGAGGAACTGTACTAAAGGGTCGCGGCATTAGGAAGGTTGAGAACCGCTGGTGCAGAAGCAAGCTTGCCCTGGAGCCTGAGGACCACATTCAGCCCCTCATCGCTCCGAAGCCCGACCCCGAGGTGACTGGTCAGGACAGCAATGCGGAGTATGTGCGCTATCTCCCCACGCAGGGCGCTGTCCCCGCTGCGAGGCTGGCGCAGACCTTTTAAGGAAGTGGCTCGTGTTTCCGTACATAAGGGGCCTTGCATTGTTAGTGTGTGGTCGGCTAGAGGATCGGTCAGTGCCGCTGGCAGCTGTAGGAAGCATGGGAGTCCTTCATGGGGTCCACATTCAGACTTCCGATCGGCTTCCATCATTCCTAAAGAAACTGAAGTTCTGCATGCTCACAGTTTAAAAATATATTTGTATTGACTTCAGAGAGGAAGGAAGAGGGAGAGAGAGATAGAAACATCAATGATGAGAGAGAATCATCGATGGGCTGCCTCCTGCACGCCCCCCACTGGGGATCGAGCCCACAACCTGGGCATGTGCCCTTGACTGGAATTGAACCTGGGACCCTTCAGTCCGAAGACCGACGCTCTAGCCCCTGAGCCAAGCCAGCCAGGGCAGTAATGTGTTTATGTAACCAGTTAGCATGCTCAAAGCACCCTGACCTCACATCCGTTAATTCATGGGACCCCCTCACCCACCCGCAGGGATGAGGGCAGCAGCTGTGTCTGGATGTGTCTGCTACTCAAGATGTGATGGAGGGGTGTGATGGAGGGGTGCGGTGGAAGGGTGTGAAGAGGAGATAGGCTCCACTGAAGCTAAAGATGCAGCTTCAGCCCAGCCGGCGTGGCTCAGTGGTTGAACATTGACCTATGAACCAGGAGGTCACAGTTCGATTCCCGGTCAGGGCACATGCCCAGGTTGCCGGCTCGATCCCCAGTAGAGGGTGTGCAGGAGGCAGCCGATCCATGATTCTCGCTCATCATTGATGTTTTTCTCTCTCTCTCCCTCTCTCCTCCTCTCTGAAATCAATAAAAATACATTTAAAAAAAAAAAGATGCAGCTTCAAGTTTGAGAGAAAATGGATGGGTAGCTGGGCCAGGGTGTAGGGGTTGGGATGGTGGAGCGAGCATGGGCCTCACTGTCCAAGCAGGTTTTGAGCCCCGAAGAGCCCCGTCCCTGTGGTACCCGTATCGTTTGCAGAAGAGATCGGAGCGGGTGAGGGCCCCTGCTGGGGGCCCCAAGCACACAGGCCAGAGGCGATGGAGGCAGCCGTGAGGAAGTCACCCATTTGAGAGTGATCAGGAGGGATTAGGAAACGTATTAAATAAGCCGGTGTTGTTCCAGGGCAGGCGGTGGTATAAACCCAATTAAGCAGATATGATCTCACCCTTCGAGCGCCTGGACTTCAAGCTCAAGACAGCGGCATTGACAAGTAAAGACAGCTAATGCGGAGGGACTGTTGGCGCACCGGAGACAGTGTCCGGATGGAGAGCTAGGTATTATTTTTAAATTGTATTTTATTGATGTCAGAGAGGAAAGGAGAGGGAGAGAGAGAGAGAAACATCAATGATGAGAGAGAATCATTGATTGGCTGCCTTCTGCATGCCTCCTACTGGGAATCGAGCCCACAACCCGGGCA